AGATTCTTGCTCCATGTGAGGCAAGGTGCATCACTTTGGAAGCCACAGCACCACATTCCAAAGCCCCATTCAAATGCACAAAGCTTTATTCCCTTCCAGGATTCAGAGCTGATGACTTCCATAGCCTCAGGCTTCTCTCCATTCAGAAGCTTTTTCAGGTGCCACCCCACTGGAAGGCTGGCTGCGGCTGGGGATTGGGGGGTGGGTGGGGCTAGAAAATCAGTCCCCTACCTTTGCTAGCTTGGCCAGGACATCCCCCACCCCCCAACGCTTGCTCAGGCTTCGAGATCCCCTGCCTCCACCGCCTTGGAGGATGATCTCTTACTTTACGTCTTTCATCCTTTCTTTGGCTTGAGTAGGTGGTGCAGGGGTGAGGGTGTGTGTTGGAAAGGGAGTGTGGGGTGGGAAGGAGGGGAATGTCTGAAGGGTCGATTTAGTATCATATCTCTTTCATCACCATCACCGAAGATGAAACCAGCAGTAAATTAAATACCACATGTTCTCATCTATAAGTGGGAGCTAAATAATGAAAACACATGGGCAGAAAGAGAGGGACGACAGACACGGGGGCCTACCTGAGGGAGGAGGAGTGGGAGAAGAGACAGGTTCAGATAAAAACACGAAAACTGAAGGGTACTGTACTGAGTACCTGGGTGATGAAACAACCTGCACACTGAACCCCCCAGTCAGAAGTTTACTATAGAACAAACTTGCACATGTATGCTTGAACAAGAAATAAAAGTCGAGAGAGAGAGAGAAATAAAACCAAACACCACCTCCTCGACCTGAGTCGGGGGGTTTCCGGCCTTTTTGGGGATGTTCAGCGGCAATGGAAGAAAGCCACAGTTAGTCCCATCGAATGTATTCTGCCTCTTAAAGGATCAGAAACTGCAAATCACGGTAGGTTCTGAAGGGGGAAAGGGAAGGAAGGTGGGGGAGTATTTCAGTCTTTTTTTTTTTTTTTCTTTTTTTGAGACTAAGTCTATCACTCTTTCACCCAGGATGGGATGCAGTAATGCTATCTCAGCTCACTGCAACCTCTGCCTCCCAGGTTCCAGTGATTCTCCTGCCTCGGCCTTCAGTAGCTGGGATTACAGGCACACACAACCACGTCAGGCTAATTTTTTTATTTTTAGTAGAGATGAGGTTTCACCATGTTGGCCATCATCGTTCATGTGCGGCTGCATCCTAGGAAACAGATTCTACCATTTTTATTTCTACCATTTTCATTGAATGGGGCTAGAGCCCATTTCATGAGGGGGTGTGTAGAGAGCCTGGTTCTCCCACGTGGGTGGCTACTGGCTAGAAATAAATATGGCTTTGTGAGCCGAAGGGATTAGTTAGGCCCTCACGTTTTTGGGACTCTCTCTCTCAAACCCTCCACTGAGGCCACAAAACAGATTCCACCCCACCCCCTTGGGCATTTCCGCAGGTGCTTGATATATCCTGTCAACAGTCCCAAGCAAGACACTTTGAGTTAAACACTTTCATTGGCTTTGTTTGTTTGTTTGTTTCTGAGACAAAGTCTCACTCTGTCCCCCAGGCTGCAGTTACAGTGGCTCTGCCTCCTGGATTCAAGCGATTCTCCTGTCTCAGCCTCCACAGAATGACTTCTTTATCCTGCTGACTCAGGAAAGCCAGGTCCCTAGTCATCCATTTCAAACCGAGAGTCACCACATGTTTGGAAAACCAATCTGCTTTCAAATTCAGTGGAGAGATGTGGCGTGTAGGATGAGGGACTGTTCCTTCTGACTTGGTCTGCACAGTGGGGCCTAGGGCGAGAGCTCAGTGCAGAATGATGGCTCCCTCTACCTTGGGTTTCATCTTCTCCACCCTGGAACACAGGCCTTGGCAGATCCTGGCCCTTCCTGGCCCTTAAGGCAATGTCAGAAACCCCATACCATGCTTGGATGCCCCAAATGATTGTGGCTCACGCCTATACAGAAGCATTTGAAATCTATTCTCCACACATGGCCACTTAAAACCACAGGAGCATGGGACACTTGGCCACCATCCACCTCACTGCTTTCAGGAGAGAATGCTGATAGTCTCTTGTTGGCCCTTTTGACTTGAGTTCTTCACGGGCATGTGGTCAGGACATAGTGAGACCAGATGTATTAATCAGGTCGGGTGTGGTGGCTCATGCCTGCAACCCCATCACTTTGGGAGACTAAGGTGGTAGGATTGCTTGAGTTCGGGAAGTCGAGACCAGTCTTGGACAACACGACCAAAACCCCAGGTGTGTGCCTGTGGTCCCAGCTACTCGGGAGGCTGAAGTGGTAGAATCACCTAACCCTGGGAAGGTTGATGCTTCAATCAGCCATAATGATGTCACTGTACTCCAGCTTGGGTGACAGACAGAGACCCTGTCACAAACAGATGGACAGACAGACAACAGCTATATTATGTCCTTCTTAGTGTAGGAAACAAAAATAACAGAATACAGCATTTAAATTTTTTTTATTTTAAATTTTAACGTATTTATTAATTTTGAGCCCAGGTTATGAAACCAGATAATTTTTTAATTTTTGTAGAGATGAGGTTTCACCATGTCGCCAAGGCTGTCCTTGATTGCCTAGGATCAAGGGATCCATCTGCCCTCGGGCTCCCAAAGTGCGAGGATGACAGGTGTGAGTCACTGCTCTTGAAAGTATTTTTTTTTTTCCTTTTCTCAATTGCTTATCTTTATGAAAGTTTCACTTCAGAGTATTTGGCTGGTTGTTTAAATTAATTCTAAATAGAAATTTAGGATGTCAGCTTCAGGCCTCAAGGACTCAAGGACTCTGAGCTAATGAATGCCTTGGTCTGTCTATCACAGGACCATACACATTAAGGAGTAAAATAATTGTGACGTTTACAATAAGTAATTTTGTTGTACAGAAATACATGGATGCATCCAAAACACAGAAATGATTATTTTAAAAGTTGTCTTAGGCCGGGCATGGTGGCTTATGCCTGTAATCCCAGCACTTTGGGAGGCCGAGGCAGATGGATCATGAGGTCAGGAGTTCAACACTAGCCTAACCAATATGGTGAAACCCCGTCTCTAATAAAAATACGAAAAAATTAGCCAGGCATGGTGGCATGTGCCTGTAACCCCAGCTACTCGGATGACTGAGGCAGGAGAATTGCTTGAACCCAGGAGGCAGAGGTTGCAGTGAGTGGAGATAGTGCAACTGCACTCCAGCCTGGGTGACAGAGTGAGACTCTATCTTTAAAAAGAAAAAAAAAGTTGTCTTAGTCCCTGTGGGTGTGCCAGTGATTCTTTTAGGTTTGTACCTTGCCTGAGGGAATTTCCAGTCAGTCTCTGGACGGAAGTTCCAGATGATCCGATGGGTGAGGACTTAGGCTGTGTCTTTCAGGGACCCTGGTTGATTAGTTATGGAGACTGCCTTGGGAGGGTATGGCTACCCACTGTGCTGTGGGGGCCTCCATCCTTCCCCTCCTCCCTCCCACTCCAGGTGATCCCAGTTCATTCGAGGTAGACACTCATTGGTAGACATCGGGCATCACCTAATGGACACTGTTATTCTGAAAACCAAGGCCTCAAGGAGGAAGGAATCTCAGGCCACCTGTGCACAGCCCGGGGCAACTGCATCTTCTCCACTGCCCCTGCCCCAACCTCCAAGTCCCTTCCTCCCTTGTTGTCTAGGGAATCGCCACACTGATGAGTGGGTCTGATTGTTCTTTGATCATATATAAAAAAATAGACAAGGCACGGTGGTTCATGCCTTCACAGGCACTTTGGGAGGCTGAGTTGGGTGGAACTCTAGGTCAGAAGTTTGAGACCAGCCTGGCCAGCATGGTGAAATCCCATTTCTACTAAAAATACAATAAGTTACCTGGGCGTGGAGGTGCAAACCTGTAATCCCAACTACTCGGTAAGCTGAGGTAGGAGAATTGCTTGAACCCTACCTAGAGGCAGAGGTTGCAGTGAGCCGAGATCGCACCACTGCACTCCAGCCTGTGTGACAGAGAGAGACTCCATCTCCAAAAAAATAAATAAAATAAAGTAAAATAAAATAATATAAAATAAATCACAACTCCTTGCCAGGAAGGGAACAAAACCCAGACAGAGAATAGTTTGACGAACTGAGAGAAGCAGGCTTCAGAAGGTGGGTAATAACAAACTCCACTGAGCTAAAGGAGCATGTTCTAACCCAACTAAGGAAGCTAACAACCTTGAAAAAAGGTTAGATGAACTGTTAACTAGAATAACCAGTTTAGAAAAGAACATACATGACCTGATGGAGCTGAAAAACACAGCACAAGAATTTCGTGAAGCATACACAAGTATCAATAGCCAAATCAATCAAATGAAAGATATCACAGGTTGAAAATCAACTAAATGAAATAAAGCAAAAAGACAAGATTCGAGAAAGAAGACTAAAAAGGAAAGAACAAAGCCTCCTAGAAATATGGCACTATGTGAAAACACCAAATCTGCATTTCATTGGTGTACCTGAAAGTGATGGGGAAAATGGAACCAAGCTAGAAAACACTATTCAGGATATTATCCAGGAGAACTTTCCCAACCTAGCAAGACAGGCCAACATTCAAATTCAGGAAATACAGAGAAAGCCATAAATATACTCCTCTAGAAGAACAACCCCAAGACACATAATCATCAGATTCACCAATGTTGAAATGAAAAAAAAAATTAAGGACAGTCAGAGAGAAAAATTGGGTGACATACAAAGGGAAGCCCATCATACTAACAATGTGGGATATTTGATTTTTCACTATAGGCCTCAAAAGGCTCTGAAATGACCCTTTGTAGATTCTACAAAAGAGTGTTTTCGACCTGCTGAATCAAAAGAAAGGTTTAACTCTGTAAGATGAATCCACACATCACAAAGCGGTTTCTTAGATACCTTACTTATAATTTTATCATGGGAAATTCTGTTTTTTCCTATAGGCCTTAATGGGTTCTGAAATGTCCCTTTGTGGATTATACAAAAATATTTTTTCCAACCTATTGAATCAAAGGAAAGAGTTACCTCTGTGAGATGAATCCACACGTTGTTAAGTGCTTTCACAGATAGGTTGTTTCTTGTTTTTATCATGGAGGCCTTAATGGGCTCCAAAGTGTCCATTCATGGATTCCACATAAACAGTGTTTCCAACCTGCCTTATCAGAAGAAAGGTATAGTTCTGTGAGATGAATGAACACATGGCAAAACGTTTTCACAGATAGCTGGTTTGTAGTTACTATAGTGGGATATTTGGTTTTTCACTATAGGCCTCAATGGAGTTAACAAATGGCTGCTGCCTGCACACACAGGGCAGAGGGAGGCTACACCTTGGCCTAGGCAGCCTCCAGAATGTGAGTGCACTGGGTCTGAGGGCCCCACTGGCAGTGCCACCCTCCCCACTCCTCCTCTGTTGGGGCCTGGAGCAGCTGGAATGGCAGCTCTGCAGTCACTAGGAATAGGGTTAAGTATTCTTACCCCATGCATGCACACAAAAAAGGAAACTATTATGTTAGGTAATTAATACGTTAATTGATTTCATTTTGGTAATTATTTCAGAATGTGCTTATAGATAGAAACATCATATTGTAAACCTGAATATGTACATTATTTATTTCTCAAATATACCTTGGTAAAACTGAAAAAAACTAACAGGATTGAAAGGATAAACACAGAGTTCTATAGTAGTAGTTGGACACTTCAATGCCTCATATTAATTAATGGGTAGAAAAACCAGACAGAAGTTTCATGAGAAATAGAAGACTTGAACAACAGTATAAGCCATTTAGAGCATGTACAGAACAGTCCACCCAACAACAGCAGAATATACATTCTTTTTAAGTGGATATAGAACTTTCTCTGGGATAGGCCATATCTTCATCCACAAAAATATGTCCTAATCATTTTTAAAAGTTTTAAATCATACAAAATATAATTTACAACCACAATGGAGGAAACAACACATAAACAAAAAATGAAAACTGAAAAATTCACAAATACGTAGAAATTAAACAATACACTCTTAAACTACCAATGAAAGATTAAATCACAAATGAAATTATAAAATATCTTGAGACAAAATAAAGACAAAACATACCAAAACTTAGTGAATGCAGTGAAAGTTGAGTTCAAAGGAAAGTGTATGGATATAAAAAACTACATTTAAAAAAAATTCAAATCAGTAACCTCACTCTATACCTAAAGGCAGTATAAAAACCAGAGAAAACTAAATCTGAAGCTAGCAGAAGTAAAGAATTATTAAAGATTAGAGCATAAATCAAGAAAATAGCAAGATGAAAAGCAGTAGAAGAAATAAGCATGGCTAAAAGTTGGCTCTTTGAAAAGAATAATAATCTCAAATCAGTAGCCAGGATTCTTTTTTAGGAATGTAGAGAAAGAAGAACAACTTAAATCTGAGTAACTAAAGAAAGGAACTAATAACAATTAGGGCAGAAATAAGTGAAACTGAAAACAAATCAGAGAGAAAGGAAAAGAGAAGAGAGTGTACAGATCGCTAACAGCAGGACTGAAAGACAAACTATCAATACACATTATAGCATAAATAAGTAATGCTACAAATAATTTTACACACACAAATCTAATAGATGAGATGAAAAAGAGAAATTCTTCTAGAGACACAACACATACTGCCAAACCTCACTGAAGAAGAAACGGTAACAAATAGTCCTGTATTAATTAAGAAATTGCATTTGTAAATAAAATCTACCAAAAAATCTATTCACGTGTTTTTTCACTGATTCCTATCAAATATTTGAAGATTAAATAATTTTGACTGTACACAATCTTTTAGAGAAAATAGATGAGATGGGAGCATTACCAACTCATTTTAGAAGGCCAGCCTTACAATAACACCAAAACTAAAAAATGATACTGAGAGAAAAGAAAACTATAGACAAATATCAGTCATAGATATATATGAAAAAAAAAATCAACAAAATATTGTGACCTCAAACTGAGCATCTCATGTAGGATGATTCATTATGTCCAATAAAAACAAGGCTGATTCACTATTAAAATTCAATCCAAGTAATCTGCTATAGAAAGACTATTTTTAAAATGTTCTTCTCAAGAGATGCAGAAAGAGCATTCAATGAAATCCAACATCTATTTCTGACCAAAACTCATAAAATTAGGAATAAAATAACTTAGAATATATGTTTATATCTGTATGTGATACGGTGATGATGGAATGATTTTTCCTTAAGACTGAAGACAAGTCCTATTCAATATTGTATTCAAAAATTTGCAAAGTGCAATAAGACAGGAATAAGAAATAATAACATACATATTGCAAAGGAAGAAGTAAAACTGCCTCTATTTGCTGATAAAACAAATATTTATATACACAATCCTACAGTATTTACAAAAAGCTTCTATAACAAATATGTGAAATTAACAGTGTTTTATTACCAAAAGTCAATATAGAATGTCAATAAATTTCCTATATGTCAGGAATTAACAGTCAAAAAAATTAAATTACTATTTAAAATAGAAACCAAAATTAAGTACTTAGGTATTATTGTAACAATAGAAGTGCAAGATCTGTATGCTGAAAACTACAAAATATAAATGCAATAAATAAGAGAAAGTTTAAAAAGAGGGTAATGAAATATTTATGAATTCAGAGTCTCAATATAGTTAAGATGCCAGCCTTTTCCATTTCTACTTATAGAGTTCCTGCATTAACAATGAAAATTCCTGTAGGCTTTTTTTTTGTTTTGTTTTGTTTTTGTAGATATCACCAAGGAGATTCTAAAATTTACATGGAAATCAAAATAACTAGAATAGTCAAAACACTTCTGAAAAAAACAAAATTATAGGACATGCACTACTGATTACAAGGCTTACTATTATGCTACAGTTCTCAAAATATTGTGGTTTTGTTAAAATATTGTTAAAACAGGAGACACATAGACCAGTGGAATGAATATAGAGACCACAGAAATAGACCCACACAAATACATTCCACTGCATTTTCAAAAAGGTGCAGAGGTAAAGGAGAAAATATAATCTATTATCTAAGTGGGGATGTAATAATGGGATTTCCCCATGTAAAAAAAAGGAACCTTAATGCATATTTTACAACTTTTACAAATGTGGACTGAAATAGACCATATAAAAGTGTAAAATACACAACAACAAAAGGCTATCATAAAACAGGGGAAATAAGATATGACTTTGGGGTCATTGATGAGTTTTTAAATAAAACACCATATACATGATCCATAAAAGAGAAAATGAAAAAGTAGACTTTATCATATTTAAAAATGCTCATTCTTTGAAAGAACCATTACAAGAGTGAAAACCTAAAACAATCAGGGAAAAATATTATTAAGTCGCTGTATTAGTCTGTTCTGCTACTGCTATGAAGAACTTGCTGAGACTGGGGAATTTATAAAAGAAAGAGGTTTAATTGACTCACAGTTCCACATGACTGTGGAGGCCTCAGGAAATGTAAAATCACAGCAGAAGGCAGGCAAGCATGTTGTTCTTCACATGGTGGCAGGAGAGAGAAGTGCCAAGCAAAGGAAGAAAAGCCCTATATAAAACCATCAGATTTTATGAGAACTCACTCACTACCATGAGAACAGCAGCATGGGGGTAACCTGCCTCCATGATTCTATTACCTTCCACCAGGTCCCTCCCACAACACATAAGGATTATGAGAACTACAATTCAAAACGAGATTTGGGCAGTGACACAGTCAAACCATATCAGTCATATATCTTAGACAAGCTTTCATCCAGAATGAATAAAGAACCCTTAAAACTCAACAATACAAAACAAACAATCCAATTTAAAACGAGCAAAAATTTTGAGCACATACATCTCAAAAGAAGACAGACATGCCAAATAAACATATGAAAACATGTTTATTGTTATTAATTAATAGGGGAATGCAAATCTTAAATACAATGGGATATCCCTACATGCCATTAGAATGGAAATAAAAAATTAAAATATCAAATGCTCCTGAAGATGTGTAGCAACAAAGATTCTCTTTCATTACTGTTGGGAATGTAAAATGACATGGTCACTTTAGGAGATAATTTGGCAGCTTTATATAAAGTAAAACATACATCCAGTGTGAGGTTCAGCCATTCCATTCCTATATATTTAACAATGTATAACGAAAACAAATTCACATAAAAACCTGTAGGCTAGGCAAATGTTTTAGCAGTTTTACTCATAATTTCTAAAACCTGGAAACAACCAGGATATCTTTTCTTTTTCTTTTTTCAGACGGTGTCTCACACTGTCACCCGGATTGGAGTGCAATGTCATGATCTCGGCTCACTGCAACCTCTGCCTCTGAAGTTCAAGGAATCCTTTTGCCACAGCTTCAGCTGGGAATACAGGCACCCACCAGCACACCCGGTTAATTTTTTGTATTTTTAATAGACGGGGTTTCACTATGTTGACTAGGGTGGTCTTGTACTCCTGACCTCGAGATCCACCCGCCTCGGCCTCGCTAAGTGCTGGGATTTCAAGTGTGAGTCACTGCACCCAGGCTAACCAAGACATCTTTCAACAGGTGAACAGATAAACTATTGTCTCAATACCATCAACTGCTATTCAGCAATAAAAAGGAACAGACTATTCACTTACTTACACATCAGTACAGAAGAACTTACATGTATTTTGCTATGTGAAAGAAGTCAACCCCAAATGTCTACATATTGTACAATTTCATTCATATAACATTCTGGAGAAGACAAAATTATAGGTCGAGAAAACAGATCAGAGGTTGCCCACAACTGGGAGAAAGGGAAGGGTTCATCACAAAGGCATCACACAGAGAATTTCAGGGTGATGCAGCTGTTCTATGTAGTGCTGGATGGTGGACATATGTCTCTATGGGTTTCTCAAAACCTACCAAATGCTACACTACAAAACCTCATTCTTATTTTTTGCAAATTAAAAAAAAAGAAAAAAAAAAACCCCACCAGGAAGTCAGAGGTTTCCAGGAGGAAAAAGAAACTGATCAAAGACACTTTGGAAAAAGGTACTTGGATTGGCTACTCTAAGGTTAAGACCAAACAAGCTGCATAAAAACACTCCATTTTGGTTGGTAATTTTGTTTATCACAGGGACAAATGATAATTTTGACATCAGGTTAGAATAAATGAGTAAGTAAGTTGTAGATAGTGTGAGCTAGAGTTATTACGGTTATGAAATGACCTCTTCTTCTAGTGTTGAGAATATTTTTTCCCAGTCATTTGTTAATTCACCCCAGGATTCTCACCAACCTACTCAAGTATTTTTTTAAATACTTGCTCTTATGATTTTAAGACAAAAACACATCTGTTTTCAGCCCAGTTGGAGAAGCCTCATTACTATCACATCCTTTGTGTTCTAAATGAAAGTCTGCACATAAAACAACAAATGAGCATGTGAAGTGTTGGAAAAGTATAATAAGGAAGTCAGTCTCCCCAGGGAAGTTCCTTGGGTCTCCTATTCTTATATTCCCTGAAGAGAGTACTGCAGAAGCCTCCAACCAGAAACCACACCCAACAAAACCAAACCTAACAGAATCTCAGCTGTCTCAGCCAAAGAACCTGGAAAATAATGACCTAGCAGGGAATACCCACCTGACTGTAGCCAAACATCAGTGGAAAAAACCCCAAACATCATAGTTCAGTGGAGTCCAGTGTGGAGCTGATGATCCACTTCACTTCCACAGAGTGGAAGGAAGCAGCAGTGCTCTGATTCCCTTGCCTGATGGTGTCAGTGGGGACAGGAACGGAGATAAATCTTTGGGCAAAAGCAGACAGTTCTACAATTCCCTTGCCAAAGTCATGTCTGCAGGTGCCAGAGGTAAGCTTAGCCTCAAACTCATGCAGCAACAATGAGACTGAGGCAGGGTGAGGTACGCTAGTGTCACCTTCCTAACCCTGGTGTCACTGAAGTCAAGCAGGAATCTGAGCCTCTGCTGCCACCCAAATCAACCACACTAACAAGGTGGCATCATCTCCAATTTCCCCCCAAACCCACTTCTGGTGTCAGTAGGACCCAGGGGTGAACCAAACCTCAACACTCACACAGCTGCAATGAGACTGAGTGAGGTGGCACCAGCAGGCAATTAGGAGTTCTTCTGAAGCAAATGTAAATCTTGAAAATCTCCACCAAAAAAATGGAAGTTATAAGAATTAACCAAATGGAGATTAAAGAATTAAAAAATAAGATAACTGAAATAACTTTACTGGATAAGCTTAATAGTAAAGAGGAGAAGACAGAAGATAGAATCAGTAAACTTGAGGACAAATCAGTAGGATCTACTGATTCTATTCTGAACAAAACAGAATAGATACAAAATGAAAAAACAGAGAATACCCTCGGGGACCTGTCAGACAGCATCACAATACTGAGTCTATGTATCATCACAGACCAAGAAAGAGAGTAGAAACAAATAGCAGCACTGGAAAAATAGTCAATAAATTGACATCTGAAAACATCTTAATTTTGATAAAGACAGAAACCTAGATAATGAAGTGGCTGAGTAAATACGAAATAAGATAAACCTAAAGGAATTCATATTTAAAAATGTAATATAAAAATTTCTGAAAACAGAAGACAAAGAAAAATTATTGAAAGCCTACCCTCAAAAAAAGATATAGACTTATAAAAACACAAATTCAAATAACAATAGAGTTCTCATCTGAAACAGTGTAGGACACAAGAAAGTGTCCCAACATTTATGTCCTGAAAGAAAAGAACTATCAAATGCAAATTCTATCTCCAGCAAAAATAACATTCAAAAAGAAAGGAGAAATAAAGGCATCCTTATGTGAAGGAAAACTGACACAATTTGTGTTTTACCAAAACTGCTCTTAAAAAGGTGAAAAATAAGTCCTCTAAACAGAAACCAAATGATATCAGAAAACTGCTTGGAACTTCAGAAAGAAAAGAATAAGAGAATGGGAAAATGTAAATGGATGTAATAGGTGATTCATAATCTCAGAAGTTTTTAAAACCATATTTGATGTTTGCACAAAAACTATAACACTGCCTGTTGAAGCATCCAGTGTATTGAATGTGTTACTCAGTGCCATTCTATTTTTAAAAACAAGGAGGGTAAAAGGATCTAAATAGAAATAAGATTTCTACACTTCATTTAAAGTGGTAAAACATCAATACCAGTTGACTGTGGTCAGTTACACATGTATAATGATAATAAGGTAAAGATAGTAAGAAAATTATATAGAGATGTACTAAAAAACAGTATAAGTAAATCATTATGTAATCCTAAAACTATTTCAGTAACTCACAGGAAGGTAAGGAAAGAGAGCAGAGGAAACCAAAAGAGAATGAACAAGCAGAAAATAAATTATAAAGTAGAACACCTAGGCCTTAACATATATATTACAGTCATCTTAAATATAAATTGTGTACATATGTTGGTTAAAACACAGGCAATATCAACCTGTACAAGGAAACACGATTCAAAAATACATATGCTACTCATCTCAAATGATGCAGAAAGAACATTTGCCAAAATATAGCACAATTTTGTGATAAAAAAAACTTCCAGAAACCTAAAAATAGAAGGAAACTTCCTGAACTTTATCAAGCCTATTTATCAAAAACAAACAGCTATGTCATGCTTATTGATGAAAGAATGAACGGTTTTCCCCTCAGAATGGAAACAAGGCAGAGAGGTCTGCTCTCAACAATGCTATTTGACAGAGCACTGAAAGTTCTAGTCAGCACAATTGGGCAAAAAACAAGCAAGGCATACTGACTGAAAAAAAAAGAAAGAAGGAAAGTGGTGTCTATTGCAGATTACACGACTGTCTTTGTAAAGTCTCAGAGAAACTAAAAAGAGTCTTGTAGAAATAATAATATTTAGCAAGTTCACAGGATACATGATCCATCCTCCAAAATTCATCGTATTTCTATGGACTAACAATGAATGTGTGGAAACTGACAATAGCTTTACAATTGCTCTAAAGAAAATACTTAGGCATAACTCTGACAAGACATGCAGAATCGAGATGGCAAAAATGACAAAATGTGCATGAAAGAATTGAGAGAAGAACTAAATAAATTCAAACATACCTTATTAATGGTTTGGAAGACACAAGATAGCAACGATGTCAACTCTCTTCAAATTGATCGGTAGATTTAACGACAGTCATAAAAGCTCCAACTACATATTTTTATGCATATAGATAGACCTATTTTAAGTTTATATGAAAAGGCACATGCTATTGGTGGAGAGATAGAGACATAGGTCAGCAGAACAGAATAAAGAACTCAGAAATTGACACAAGTAAATATGCCCAATTCATTTTTGACAATGGTACAAAAGCAATTGAAGGAGAAAGAATAGTCTTTTTAACAAATGTTACTGGAGAAAGTAAACATTTATAGGCTCAAAATCTCAGCATAAACCTCACACTTTATACACTAATTAACTTGAAATGTTTGCAAATTTAAATATAAAAGGTTACACTATAAACCTTTTAGGAAAAGAGAGTTCTAAAAAAATTATTGGGATCCAGGGCTAGATAAAAGTACTTTGTTCTTATTTATATGTATCTTTAAATGTTTTTTTTTTAACTTTCAGTAAAAGATCAATGTGTACCTGTACTTAATCTAAAAAAGAAAAAATATTCAATGTGCTCTTCCAGGTTAATAGACAAATCAAATAGACTCACCATTCTGTATGAATCCATAGTGTATCAGTGATCGAGTCATTATTGTTTTCCTGAGAGAAAAATTATCTTTAGGCTCATCACATTTTTGGAGCATAAAACCAGAGGGCCTAAGGTGAGGTGAACATGCTGTCAGTGGAGGTGAGCAGGAAGGAAATTTCCAAACCCAAGAACTTGCAGAACCTGCTGGAGAGAGAAAGTTACTTGGGCAAGTCTAGACATCAATTGTGATGTACCCTTCTCTGTAGAATAATAAAAACAGTGTATTCCACCAAAAAAAGAGAACAGGTGATGCTAATTGAATGATGTTACAACACACCCATATGTCTGTATGTGTATACAGAACTATGCACATATACATACACAGATATGTATATGTGTATTTATAACTGAAGTTAAACCATTAAGCAATAAATGTGCAGTCCTATTTTTCTACCCTCTCTTTTCTAACATCTTTCAAACAGATGATGTGTTGTAAGATTTCCAGTTACTTTCAATAATTAAAAAAATTTCAAACAGAATAGGTATGCTGAATTATTTATCAATCCCCTATTTTACATGTGACTGTAAATAGGCAACTCGTTGTATAGATATTTCAGTATCTTAGATGTTAAACATATAGCTACTCCTCATTTTTAGAAGAGTGGATTTGCAATATGTGTCTGATCCAAGTTGTATATTTAAATTACTTAAAAATACATCTTTTTTGGTAATCGTGTTGTAAAACAAATTTGTGGCACATTAGAAAGAATGTTTTTAAGCAAAATGTTTTTAGTTTGTATTCTCTAAACATCAGAATTTTACTTTGAAGGTTTTCAAAACTTACAAGAGTATTCATATTTGAACTATAAAATAAGTAACTTAGATGGAATAATTTGAATTTGGAAATTTCTTTATACCACTAAATTTGAAGTTTCAATGCCATTTTATTTTTACAGATTTTCTTTGAAACATGATATTGGCTACTGGAAAGAGTTAAGACCCTTCATGAAAATATGATTTTAGTAATGCAACTTATATATGAGGTAGAGGAAGCATTGATTCCTGTGCCCATTAATTAAGGAGATTTTGTGAAACAATTTTTAACAAGGGCCACAGTCAGTACTGGGAGTGTGGTCAGGCACGCCTCCCTCCTCACTGGGCCCACCGGAAGCGTTCAGGGTTCTAGGAGAAACATGCGCAGGTGTGCAGAGGCTGTCACAAGGGAAGAAGGGCCAGCGTGGGAAACCCAGCACAGGGGGCCTGGCCTCATAGGGGAGCCGGAGAAGGTTTTCTGAGGAAGCTTTGTCCAAGCCGAGATCCTTCCTGTTCCGTGTCCTCCAGCACAAGGCCTGCAAGAGGAGCCCCGTGAGCAAGGCCGACCTAGACCAGCCGGGTGGATTCCCTTGACAGTGAGGGGGAGCATGGCCTGAGGAACTGAGGGCAGTCTCAGAAGGACGGCATCAGAGGAACTCTCACCGTTTCTATCATGAACGTTACAGTTTGATATCAGCATGGGGGTTGTGATTGGGTGATCCTGAGAAGGAACTGTCAGCGGGTCGTTGGACACTGTCTGATGCAGGAGGCTTTTCTATTGTTTGGTATCTCAAGGAATCTTATCTAGAAGAGGGCAGAGGCCGCCAGGAGAAAACCGCTGCTGGTAATGAGGTAGATGCCGCTCATTTTCACCAAGTGAGTGCAGTGCTAGGGATTTTAGGGGGTAGCAAAGTGACCTTGATATATTTTCTCTGTGCAGGTCTCTGTTAGAGTCGCTCTGAGTGTCTCCGTGGGGATCTCTGTGTTGCTTTTGAAGAGTCTCTGTGTGAGTCTCTGTCGGGAGTTTCTGTGTGGAGGTCCCTCTGCGGGGTCTTCATGGGAGGATCTGGCCAGGGCCAGGACAGGTCCAGGGCAGGTCCATGACAGGGCCAGGGGCTGCGTAAGGGCAAGGGCAGGGCCAAAGCAAGGTAAGGGTCAGGGCCAAGGCCAGGATAGGGACAGGGCAAGAAATATGGCAGGACCAAGGCCAATGCCAAGGCCAGGGCTGAGTCAGGGCAGGGCAGGGCATGGAATGGCCAGCGCAGGACACGACAAAAGGCGGTCCATAGAAAGAGCAGGGCTGATGCCAGGAAAGGACCAGGCTACTGCCAAGGCTGAGGTAGTGTCATGGCATGCACAGGGCGGGGCCAGGGCTGGAATCGAGCCAGGGCACAGCCAAGGCAGGGTAGGGCAGGGCAATGCCACAGCCGGGTCAGTACTAGGACAGGGCAGAACAGGGCAAGGTGATGGTAGGGGCAGGGCAAGGACAGGCCAAGGCAGAGCCAGGTCACTCCAGGGCCAGGACACCTCCAAGTCCACTTCAGGCCCAGGGCTATGAAGGACAAAGGCCAGGGCCAGGATCAGCGCCAGGTCTGGGCTAGGGCCAGGTCCAGAGCAGGGCCTAGCGAAGACTAGGGTGAGGGACAAGGTAGGGCCAGGGCAGGCTGATGACACATCCAGTGCATGGCAGGGTAGGGTGGTGGCAAGTCCAGGGGCAGACCACTGCCAACTCAGGGCCAGGGAAAGGCCATGGCCAGGGCACAGCCAGGAAAGGGTCCGGGTCAGGGCCAGGACCAAGGCAGATCAGGGCCAGGGCCATGGCAGAGTCGGGGCAAGTCCTTGACAGGACCAGGTTCCAGGCCAGGGCCAGGGCAGAGGCAGGGGCAGGGTCTGGATAAGGGCAAGGCCAGGGATACCTTAGGACCAGGGCTAGGGCCAGGGCCCGGGCTAAGCCAGAACAAGGCCAGGGCCAGGCCATAGTGAGGACAGGGCAAAGGCCAAGGCAGGGTCAGAGCAGGTCCCGGGAGAGACCAGTGCCAGGCAGGGCCAGGGCACAACCAGGGCAGTGTAAGGCAGGTCAATGGCACCACTGTGCCATGACAGGGCAAAGTCAGTGCCAGGAGAGGGCACAACAGGCAGGGCCATGGTGGGGCCAGGGCAGGGATGGGCCAAGGCAGGGCCAGAACAAATCTGGGCCAGGACACGTCCAAGGCCAGGTCAAGGCCAGAACAGGAGCAGGACCATGACCACTAGCAGGGCCAGTGCCACGACAGGACCAGGGTCAGGACAAGAGGCAGGGCCAGAGCCAAGGCCGGGCCAGCACAGGTTCAGGGTAAGGCCAGTGCAAAGGCAAAACCAGCATGGGATCAGAGCAGGGCAGGGCCGAGACAGTCCAGGTAACAGTAGGGCAGGGCCAGGGCAAGGCTGGGCAGTACAGGGCCAGGTCCACGGCAGTGGCAGGGCAAAGCCAGGCACATTGCCTATGCAACAGCCCACCCTACAAGGCTTCTACCACCCGGCCACTGCCGCAGCCCGGCCATTGCTGTAAGCCTGACCCCCAACCCTGGCTGTAGCCGCCTGACCTCCTAGCGTGGTCACTCTCCTACCGTTCCAGCACGCTGCAGTCTCCGTCACTGCCACCCACCATCAGCGAGGCAAGCCGTGGTGTCACAGGCTCCAGGTGTCTCCTCCTCCTCCTGGCACCAGAGCAGCTGGGCGGGCAAAGCCAGAAAAGCCTAGAGGAAGATGTGAGGGGTGGTATCATTAGGAGCCTCAACTTGTCATGCCAGGGACTGGGTGGCAGGGGCCAGTTTCAGCAAAGGCACTCGCATCCACCGTCCAAAGTTCAGCCTCTCCTTTTGGCCCAAGCTGACCAGGAACTGGGGCCTGGAGTGGGTGCTGGAGATACCACAGTGCCCAGCTCCCCACTCCACAGGAACCACTGGGCCCACTGGGGTTGCAATCCTTGGGGAACAGGAGCAGCAGAAAAATTCAGACCCAGCCCAGCCCTCCACACCCAGGTGCCAATTCCTGTTCTGGATATCTCCACGCACAGGGCCCTTTCCCCCATGGTGTCTGCTACTGCATACCCGGGGGTCCTGGCAGCCTCTAAGGCACAGACCCAGGGTGCACGGGCCCAGGAGCCACGGTGGGTGTGGGGGCTCTGCCACGCTCAGGATTCCCACGGAAACACTGTGCGCCTGCCGTGCTCCAGTATGAGCAAGAGTAGGTGGCCCTCTGGAGTGTGGCGTCCAGGGAGAGCAGAACCGCTCCTTCCTTGGATGCCACACTGTTGCTGCCAACTCTGCTGACTGCCACCAGCAGTGCAGCCCCTGATAGCACCGAACTCTACCCGCTTCACGGCCAGTCCTGCCCTCAATAGCGCACCCCACCTCCATCCCCCAACGCCGCCACTAGCGTATACCCGATAGTGCCTTGACCTGTCCTCCTCCATGGGCATTGTGGCCCCAGAAAGTGCCTATAACCCACCCCCTGCACTGTAGGCAGTGCAGCCCTCTACAGTGCTACCAACTAGTACCCCCAATGCAGGCAATGACACCCTGGATAGTGCCCCCTACCCACCCCACACTGCGAAAAGTGCAGCCCCGATAGCCCCTGCCCTACCACTCTGGTCATGCTGCAGTCTCTGTCACCGCCACCACCAACCACAGTGAAGGAAGTCACTGGGCCGCAGGCTCTAGCACTCAGCAGCCAGGCCCGGAGCAGCTCTCGGTGATGGCCGGCTCCTACCACTCCAACCACACTGCTGTCTCCATGGCCATCTTCTTTGACTACAAAGGAATAAAACTAGGTATCAGTAAGAAGAGTAATTTTGAAAACCATACAATCACATGGAAGTTAAACAATACGCTCCTGAATGAATGACTAGTGGGTCAATGAAGATACTAAGACAGAAATTGAAAAATTTTATGAAACAAATGGTAATGAAAACACAATACAGCAAAACTTACGCTACACAGAAAGCAGTACAAAGGCAGAGATTTATAGCTAGAAGTGCCTACCATCCAAACAAAAGAAAAACTTCAAATAAACAATATATCTTAAAGAACTAGTAAGGACAAACTAAACCCAAAAGAAGAAAATAAGAAAATAAGATCACAGCAGAAATAAAATTTAAATAAAAAAGTACAAAAGATTAAACAAAAAGTTGGTTTTCTGGAAAGCTAAACAAAATTGACAAACTTTTAACCAGGCTAAGAAAAAAGACAAGATTCAAACAAAATCAACAGATAAAAAAAGAAGACATTACAACTGATACTTCAGAAATTCAAAGGATCATAACTGGCTATCATACGCCAACAAATTGGAAAGTCTAGTAGAAACTGACAAATTTCTAGACGCATACAACCTGTTTAGGTTGAACAGTAAAAACGTGCAAGACCAGAACAGATTGGTAACAAGTAATGAGATTGAAGCCATCAGAAATATAAGTAACATGAACATTTTCTCCACCGCATAAGCCTGAATCAGACCGAAAAACTTCACCGATACTTAACAGCCCAGTACTAATAAATACAAACAAGCCAGTACTTCTCATACTGTTAACCCAACACAGGCATGCCTTAAGGAAAGGTTAAAATAAAGTAAAAGGAACTCAGCAAACTCAACCCCACCTGTTTACCAAAAACATCACCTCTAGCATTACCAGTATTAGAGGCACTGCCTGCACAGTGCAACATGTTTAACGGCCGCGGTACCCTGACCGTGCAAAGGTAGCATAATCACTTGTTCCTTAAATGGGGACTCGCATGAATGGCACCACGAGGGTTCAACTGTCTCTTACTTTCAACCAGTGAAATTGACCTGCCCGTGAAGAGGTGGGCAGGAAACAATAAGACGAGCAGACCCTATGGAGCTTTAATTTATTAATGCAATTAAAACTACATAAATCTACTGACCCTTATACCACTACACCTGCATTAAAAATTTTGGTTGCGGTGACCTCAGAGCATAACTAAACCTCCGAACAACCTATGCTAAGGCTACACAAGCCAAAACGGACTAACACCTATAATTGATCCAATAACTTGACCAACGGAACAAGTTACCCTAGGGATAACAGTGCAATCCCATTCCAGAGTCCGTATCGACAATAGGGTTTACGACCTCGATGTTGGATCAGGACATCCTAATGGTGCAGCAGCTATCAAGGGTTCGTTTGTTCAACGATTAAAGTCCTACATGATCTGAGTTCAGACCGGAGCAATCCAGGTCGGTTTCTATCTATTCTATATTTCTCCCTGTACGAAAGGACAAGAGAAATAAGGCCCACTTCATAAAGTGCCCTCATTCCATAGATGACCTAATCTCAATCTAACAAAATAACACCCACTCAACCCAAAAACAGGGTTTGTTAAGATAGCAGAGCCCGGCAATTGCATAAAATTTAAAACTTTACAGTCAGAGGTTCAACTCCTCTTCTTAACACCGTATCAACAACAAACCTTCTACTCCTTGTTATATCTGTACTAGCTGCTATGGCATTTCTCATGCTTATTGAACAAAAATTATTAGGCTATATACAATTACGCAAAGGGCCAAATATTGCTGGCCCTTATGGATTACTACAACCCTTTGCTGATGCAATAAAATTATTCGCCAAGGAGCCCTTAAAACCTTCAACATCTACTACCATTCTCTACATTACCGCACCAGCCTTGGCCTTTTCCATTGCTCTTCTCCTATGAACTCCTCTCCCTATACCCCACCCACTAATTAACTTTAACCTGGGACTTCTATTTATCCTAGCTACATCAAGCCTAACCGTCTACTCTATCTTATGATCAGGATGAGCATCAAACTCAAACTACGCACTAATCGGAGCACTACGAGCTGTCGCCCAAACAATTTCATACAAAGTTACTCTCGCTATTATTCTCTTGTCAATCTTATTGATAAGCAGCTCATTTAATCTTCATATACTTATCACAACACAAGAGTATCTCTGACTCCTCCTACCATCATGACCCCTGACTACAATATGATTCACTTCCACATTAGCTGAAACAAACCGAGCTCCCTTTGGCCTCACAGGAAGGCGAATCAGAACTAGTCTCGGGCTTTAACATTGAATATGCCGCAGGTCCATTCGCTCTGTTCTTTGTGGCTGAATACATAAATATTATTATAATAAATGCTCTAACAACCACAATCTTCCTAGGCACATTGTACTCTATTCACTCCCCAGAACTATTTACGACATGTTTTGCCACCAAAACACTTTTCCTAACCTCTTTATTTTTATGAATCCAAACAGCATACCCCTGATTCCGTTATGATCAACTCATACACTTACTATGAAAAAACTTCCTCCCACTCACACTAGCCCTTCTCATATGACATATCTCAACACCTATTACAATCTCCAACATACTCCCTCAGACCTACAAATATGTCTGACAAAAGAGTTACTTTGATAGAGTAAATGACAGAGGCCCTAACCCTCTTATTTCTAGGATTATAGGTATCGAACCTACCCCTGAGAACCCAAATTTCTCCGTGCTACCGACCACACTCCATCCTAAAGTAAGGTCAGCTAAATAAGCTATCGGGCCCACACCCCGAAAATGTTGGTTATACCCTTCCCGTACTAATTAATCCACTAGCCCAACTTATTATTTACTCCACCATAATCACAGGTACTCTCATTACGTCACTAAGCTCACACTGATTCCTCGCCTGAGCAGGCTTAGAAATAAATATACTAGCCTTCACCCCAATCCTAATCAAAAAGACAAGCCCCCGTTCTACAGAAGCTGCTACTAAATATTACCTAATACAAGCCACCGCATCTATAATTCTCATAATAGCAGTCATCTCCAACAACCTGCTCTCTGGATGCTGGACCATAACAAGCAACATCAACCAACTTTCATCTTTAATTATAACAACAGCCCTAGTCATAAAACTAGGGATAGCTCCTTTCCACTTCTGAGTCCCAGAAGTCACTCAAGGGACATCCTTAATTTCCGGCCTACTCCTCCTCACATAACAAAAACTAGCCCCCATCTCAATTATATATCAAATATACCCTTCAACTAATGCAAGCATTCTCCTAACCCTCTCAACTCTATCTATTATAGTCGGCAGTTGAGGGGGCCTTAACCAAACAGAAGTACGCAAAATTATAGCACACTCTTCAATTACTCACATGGGCTGAATAATAACAACACTAATTTACAACCCAAATGTCACAATCTATTACCTAGCTATATACATTATTATAACAACCACTGCATTCCTAGCTCTCAACCTAAACTCAAGCACCACAACTCTCATACTATCTCACGCTTGAAACAAACTAACCTGATTAATACCATTAATATCATCTGCTCTCCTATGTATAGGAGGCTTACCCCCACTAACCGGCTTCCTGCCCAAATGAATTACCATCCAAGAACTCACAAAAAACAGTAACTTCACCATTTCCACCATTATAATTATCATAACCCTACTCAACCTATACTTTTACATACGCCTAATCTACATCACTTCCATAACACTACTTCCTACATCCAACAATACAAAAATAAAGTGACAATTCGAAAGCACAAAACCCACACTTCTCATCCCCTCACTCATTATCCTCACTACCCTCCTCTTACCAATTTCCCCACTAACCTTAGCCATCTTCTAGAAATTTAGGTTAAGTAAGACCAAGGGCCTTCAAAGCCCTTAGTAAGTCAAACCATGCTTAATTTCTGAGACACATAAAGACTGCAGATTCTGCTCTGCATCAACTGAATGCAAATCAATTACTTCAATTAAGCTAAGCCCTTACTAGATTAATGGGACTCAAACCCACCAAATTTTAGTTAACAGCTAAATACCCTAACCAACTGGCTTTAATCTACTTCTCCCGCCGCAGGGGAAAAAAGGCGGGAGAAGCCCCAGCAGAAATTAGCTGCTCCTTTGAATTTGCAATTCAACATGAAAATCACCTCGGGGCTGGTAAAAAGAGGACTTAATCTCTGTCTTTAGGTTTACAGCCTAATGCTTACTCAGCCATTTGACCCGCCTCCCCTTCCTTTTTCCCACCTATGCTCGTCTACCGTTATTCTCAACAAACCATAAAGATATTGGAACTCTTTACCTACTGTTCGGCACATAAGCTGGAATCATAGGCACAGCTCTAAGCCTTCTTATTCGAGCTGAATTAGGTCAACCAGGAAACCTACTAGGCAACGACCATATCTATAATGTTATTGTTACAGCCCATGCATTCGTCATAATCTTCTTTATAGTCATACCCATCATAATTGGAGGCTTCAGAAATTGATTAGTACTTCTAATGATTGGTGCCCCTGACATAGCATTCCCTCGCCTAAATAATATAAGTTTCTGACTTCTTCCCCCCTCCTTTCTACTATTACTGGCATCTGCCACAGTGGAAGCCGGTGCTGGAACAGGCTGAACAGTTTATCCTCCTTTAGCAGGAAATTTCTCCCACCCAGGAGCTTCTGTAGATCTAACTATCTTCTCACTTCACCTAGCAGGCATCTCCTCCATTCTAGGAGCTATCAATTTCATTACCACTATCATAAATATAAAACCCCCTGCAATATATCAATATCAAACCCCCTTATTTATTTGATCAGTATTAATCACAGTCATCCTTCTACTCCTCTCCCTACCAATACTAGCTGCCAGCATTACTATACTACTAACAGACCGAAATCTAAACACTACCTTCTTTGATCCTGCTGGAGGAAGGGATCCTATCTTATATCAACACCTATTCTGATTCTTCAGCCATCCCGAAGTCTATATC